GTGCGTGTGAATCAGAGTGTTAGAAACTCTACAATCATAATGAGTACACAGGTGAATACCAAGGGTAATGTCTGTAATCTGATCTGTGATACAACTTCATTTCTGTGATTTTGTCATGTTTTCTCCCTTTTCTAGCTGCAGTGGTAGACTTCGATGAGAAAGGTGACTGAGAAATGTGAACTCCCCCACAGATAATAAGCAGCACACTAAAATCTCATTGTTATGAAAACAACAGCATTGCAGCTTCATGTTGTTCGTAAAGCAGCAATGGCCTATTTATTTATGTCAGATGTAAAAGATGTCACCTGCAGTAAAGAAAATTATCACCCAGGTTCCTCTCAGATCAAGCTCTTGAGCATTACAGCAAAATTCTCTGGGCTTTAAAATGTACTGTTTGTTTCAGTCCTGAAGCTCATTTTTAGCCCCAAAACGCAGCTGTTTTCAGCAAAAAGCTAAAAATCCACTCTGCTCAACCTTCCCAGCAGCAGACAGCAGGCAAAGTTAACGACTAGCATAGCAAACTAATGCACCAGACATTTGCCTCAGGAGTTGGTGGGTACCAAAATAGAGCAGAATGACAGTGAATATTGGACTTAGATTCGTCAGACTGACAGAAACGCAAAGCAATAGTTTGCAAATACATCATAACAACTTTATAGGATGATAATATGTCAGTGCTGTATATTCAGCTTGTTATGCTGCACCCAAGTGGCAAAAAAATAATAATTTAATGGTGCTTTGAAGGTACCATCTGGTGTTTTTGAACAGTAGTTGTGCTCTGGAGCAATATTTTTTACGAGTGTGGCCTTGTTTTTCCATCGTTTGACAACTGGTAGCATTAATGTGGCAAAAAACGTAGCAACACACCACCCAAAGCAAGGAAGAAGAAGACTGCTAGCTACATGGACGTAAATAAACAATGCAGATTTTAAAGCATTAATAAAAACTGGCTTAATGTTTTATGAGGCAGGAAAAGTATTGGGCAGGTTTGTTGGAAGTGTTTTGGTGGGAAACACTGAGTGTAAACGTAACTGTTTGTTTTGTAGAGAGGGACTGTAAGGGTTACAATAGATAAAGAGCCTTTTTTCACAAAACTTAACAAAAGTATTGAGCTGGTTTAACCTTAAACTGCCTTCAAGCTCAAGACATGCTCTTCGACAGAGGGAAAATGTAGCAGGACAGTTCTGCCTGCATCAGCTACATCAAAGAGATTTTTTATGTTCATGCAAAGCCAGGAGTTGATTTAAGGTTAAATCTTGAGCAGAAACTTAAACAATGCTGGTGAACAGTGTGGTATTCAGTGTCTTTGCCTGAATATATGCATTCTTTGATAAACCCACTAGTAGGTGAGGTGCTAATGATTGCAGCAGAGCCAGTGTTCTGGTCACAAATGAGCACCGCAGCTCAACATGTTCTCATCAGTGACAGCGACTGAAAAGATGATAGACAGGCCCCAGCAAACCTCCACTGCCTCATCACAAAGGAAACCATCTCTAGATTATTCTATGAACTCTGATAACAACTATTAGATGTGATGACGATTAAATGAGCAGCTTCCACGAGACTATCAATCTTTTGAGTTAATCAGTAGCTGCCCAGGGATTTATCCTTTCTATTCATTTAAAAACCCATGAGTTCAAGGGGAAGGGGGAAGGTGAAGCTGCCTCCCCAATGTAACCCCCCCCCCCCCCCCCCAGTTGTCAAGTGTTACTGCAGTCATATTAGAAAACTCATAAAGCAGAGAAAAGCCATTGATTGCTTTGCCTGCCATCACTGTCATTTTAAATCAAGTTGGGGCTTTGATAAATGGCAACCCGCCGCAAGATACACTGTTTTTGTTCACCTCCCTCATCTTTCATCTGCCTGTCAGCGTCACGGCCTCACCTGTGCTTTCACACACAAGGCCAATTTGACGCTTGCATCCCTATGAATCATGTACAACTGTTTTCTTTAGTGTTCTGAGCACAAGTTTTACACTTTTGTGTTATTAAGCGATTTTAATCTGGCATTCTCCGAAACATTCTGGGCTTCATTAACACGAATCTATGAATGTTTAATTGTGGGTTATATTTACAGGCTGCTCTCTCACGTCCAGTTTACCTTTGATCTCAGACAATGTTGTTGATAAAAGTATACAGGAATATTTAATAGGAAATGCATGCCATGTCCTTGCAGCTATAGAATGCTGTGTAATTGTATCTGATTTTTGGGTTGGCTGTGTCCCTAATTAATCAGTGATTTCCCTTATGTTTTAGAATTGCAAATTGGATATGTTGAGCCTTTGAGCTGTTCTTTACACTGACTGCATTGCTGGTCTGAGAAACCCTTTTTATGGCTCCAAGCTAATTATTCAGCCCGTGGATCCAGGCTCTGGAAGGCTGCCTCTGACTCTAGGCTGTGTGTGTGTGTGTGTGTGTGTGTGTGTGTGTGTGTGTGTGTGTGTGTGTGTGTGTGTGTGCGGGTGTGTGCGTGTGTGTGCGTGTGTGTGCGTGTGTGTGCGTGCGTGTGTGCATTCGTGTGTGTGTCTCACTGTAGAATACAGTAGGTGTTAGAGGAGGTAAGTGTATGTGCATGCATTTGACATTTCAATACTGAGCTTCTGTTCTTTGTATTTTGGCCGGTTATGCATTATACATGGGTGAGTTTTACTCTCTCAACATTTTCACAGTCTTGGTTTGGCTGTTCGTGAAAGATGGGTCGGATTGTGTGTGTGTGTGTGTGTGTGTGTGTGTGTGTGTGTGTGTGTGTGTGTGTGTGTGTGTGTACAATGTGAATGCATGCATGCACTTGCCATTTTGGGTTCCAACGTTAATTTCTTTTGACAGAGTGAAAGGTTTCTTGGGGCTCGTGTGTGGGCTTTATAGCTCCCACGATAAAAATGTCTTTTCATCACATATTCAAAGATGAGATCACAGGGAGTTGTCAAGCAGCGTTGCTGAACATCCATCCAGCCAAACAATAAAAAAAGCAACGTGTATTCAAGTCAACGTAATGTCAAGCCCGCACTCTGAGTTGATCTTGCAGTAAATTAGGTATTAATCCCGTCCTGTTATCCCAAAACTGTGTAATAATTAGGTTAGCCTCTGTGACTCATGACATATACAGTACAAGTGCGAAAATTATCTGATGATGTGATAATGATTCAGAGCTGCCACACTGCAGCCTGTGAGAAAATACAGGGAAAGGTATTCTGGGTTTGGATTCATATTTTCTGTTTTATTCTGTCTCTTTCTACTGACTGAGAGCAGCTTAGGGGACCTCAATTAAGAAATTAAAAAAATTTAATGAAATAAAAAATACTCCTCTTCATCACACTGGGAGAATATGGTCTGCTCTGTAACTAGCAGAAGAACACTGATAAACACTAATGAGTGAAACCTTGAATTCTATTAAAAATTATTGAGTGAACGAGCACTTATGTCGGGTTGGCTCAGACGCTTTGTGTTGAAAAAACTGAAAAAGCCAATGTAACATGATTGTGTTGGACAGATTGTTGGCTAATGTGATATTGACAGACCATGTGTGATTAAAGCAGCGAAAAATGGTACAAAAAGCGGGTTTCAATGAGAAATCAGGTAAAAGGGTATTGTCCTTGCACAGATTACCTAAGAGTTGTTGTGTGGGTGTTTAATGTGTTTACACAGAACCATTGCAAGACTGAAATACTACTCTAATCCAAGTTTTAGGGAAGATAAAATATGAGAAATTGTAGTGGCTGGCAGTAATTTTTGCCTGCTTTCCTTTTTGTAATTTTCTTCTTTTCTACATTTGTATAGTTTAAATGGATGTTGTTTTGTACATTGTTCTCTTGAAGAATAGTAAATGCTTTCCAGTGACAACATCTCACAGTATAGTGAGGGTCTTTATGTTTTTAGGAAAAATGGATCTGTTGTCCGGATGTTTTGAGATGAGTCTCCAGAGGTTAGCGTGGACAGTCAGGGGGAAAAAAAAATTTATGCTCTCAAATTAATCATTTTTGTGACCAATTTAAAAAAACAAAACATTCAAAAATATTGTTGAATGTTGTCAAACATTGAGCCCAACAAATATGTGATTTTTGCAGTTCAGTGATATCAATATTTGAGATATTTTTTGCACATAAACAAAAAAACAAAAAAAAAAATTCCTAAATTCCCTAAATTTGTTTACATTTGGTTAGTAATTGTGACTTACAGTGTAGCAAGCGACAAAATCAACTTGTCCGTGCCCCCTGGTGTGTAAACTATGTAATGGCAACAATGCTTAAGGCAGATAATATTAGCCTGGTTTACTTATTGGTTGGTTGCTAGTCAAAAACCAGTATATTAGTTTGTCTACATTCAAAATTAAAAATGAGGTGAAATTTAAAAAAAATAAATAAAATTATTTCACGTGACGAGAACAAAACCTGTAAACATGGTAACAGTACTCATCAAAGAATGCTGGGAGGACAATTAGTGCTTACAAGTAAGTGGTAATTAAAAGAAAGAAAATTTAAAAAACTGATACTAAAAGATACTAAAACGAAAACTGGACTAAAATATAGGAAAAACCAAATTTGTCTGAGAATAAAATTAAAATCACTGTATTCTTGGCTGTGGAAACTAAATTTTCATAAATAAAAAAAGGAGAATGGATTAATTACTCTACATCTGAATAGTGTCCTTAATTTACAATAATATCTCCACCCTCTTTTATTCACATACAGTTTGTCCCAAACTTAATTTCAAATCTCCATTACGGCGATAAAAAGTACAAGATACAAAACTGGACTCTAGTTGAAACTACAGTGGAGAGCTCATGTCGAGCTGTTGTTCAGTGCTGCACACAAACCTTTTCGAACATGCACCCAGCAGTTTCTCATTGCACTGTAGCGCTGTGGCTTGGCAGCAGCAGCAGACAAACAGAGGGGGGGCAAAGGACGGTGCGAGTTAGTACAGAGAGAGACAGGCGCTCTCATCAGTGACGGGCTCACCGGCTGCGTGGACAGAGCTGTGGCGCAGGAGGAGGAGAAGAAGAGGTGCAACGGGAGGACAAGCTGCCTGAAAAACCGGAGCAAAACGCGAGAGACCACGAGAGAGGGAGGAGGGGGGGGAAACGGAGAGAGATCTCTGAGGGGAAAGAAGTCATTCGGAGCAGGGAGAGGGAGAAAGCTGGATGAAACTGACAAGGACACACGGGGAGGAAAGCGCACAGAGGAGCCTTCCCTGACGGAGGAGAGAAGCGAGGGAGTGCGTGCACAAAGTGGAAAAGAAGAAAAGGAGGAGGAGAAAGAGGAGAAGGAGCCTGACAGGAGGTCGAGCTTATGAATCTTGACTGACACAAAAGCGAAGAGGAGGAGGAGGAGGAGCATGAGGGCAAGGGATGGATTTGATTTGGAGAGAGTATTTTTAGAAGGAGGAGTGGAGACATGAGAGAAATATTGAGATTAGAGATGCTGTCTTTGAGTGGTGGTGAAAGAAAGTGAGGAGGAAGAAGAAGAAGAAGAGAGAATAACAGGAGACAGAAAAAGGGGGGAGGAGATGTTGAGATCAGAGTGTGACAGAACAGATTATCTCTGGTCTGGTTTCCCGCAGGAAACCGCTGAGAGTGTATGTCCGTGTATGCACGTGAGTGCCTCCTTCTCCATGTGAAAGTGTATTGTAGCATGTTTCTCACTGTGGCTGTGCTGCTGAGAAGCAGGTCTGCCATAAGATGAAGCTACCCCGTGGTTACCCGCAGGACCTAATAACACTGTTTAAAGCCAAGTCGGGGGGGAGACCAGGAGAAGACCAGTGACATCAGGAGGAAGTCAAAGCATCAAAAGTGAGACCGCAAAGTGGAACAGAAAGCAAATGAGCATGGGAGACTTTTGTGAATTCAATTAAAGCTTGCACTTAATAGTGACAAGGAACTGATTGCTGCCTCTGGCTGCCGAATGCCTCTGCAAGGCAGTGAAGCCAAAAAACACACACGTAACTCAGAAGAAGAAAAACCACAGCGCTGGAACAAGGCAAGCTCTCTACTGACAGACTGCACCACGCCAACCAATTCCTTCCACTGTCGTCTCATTATTTTAATTACATTCCTTTCTTTCATTTGTGTTTTTTTTTTTGTCCTCTCTGCTCAGCCCTTGGTATTTTGTATTCTGTCCTCCTCTCTCCCTCTCTCTTCCCCTCCCTCTTCTTCTTGCCTTCGCTCTCTCTGTCTCATCCTCTCTTGTTCACTGTCACACTAACTGTGGATGCTGGAATCGCTCATGTAGAAGCCACCTTGCTTGGAGCACATTTGCCTAGCTGATTTTTTTTTTCTTCCTCCCCTGCTGAGTTGGATCTGTGGAGCACTCTCAGATCAAGAGACCAGGAGAGATGACCAACAAGTAGCTGTTCATCAGAGCTCCTGCACCACCAGGAGAAGACGATTTCAAAACAGCTGCTTTCCACGAGGGGACCTCTGCTTGTGAATACAGTACAGTATATTTACAGTTAAGACTGCATGGGTCATTAGTATTCGTAAGACCAAACACATTTCCAGGTGTGGATTACGGTAGTGGATTTATCCTGGAGCTACATGTGGGCCCCAGCCCTTGAGGCCTGGCCTGGAAATGAAGCCTTTCCCGCGGCTGTAGGAGCGGTGTGGGCAGCTATGGCCCTGGAGGGGCGCTGTCTCCGGCGGGGATCTCCAGCCATGATCAGAAAGGGCTGTCAGCGGCGCCCTACAAAGCCAACTCTGGCTCAGGTCACTTCTACACTGCTGTCAAGGACACGCCTGCACGGCCTGAGGCATGTTTGTGTCCCTGGTGGCTCAGTGGGCCGCAGGGCCTTCTGGCTGCTGGCCCTCTGCACCTCCCTGGGGCTGCTTTTATCCTGGTCCTCCAACCGTCTACTCCACTGGCTTTCCTTCCCCACATACACACGGGTCCACACTGAGTGGGCCAAAGAACTAGCCTTCCCCACAGTCACTATCTGTAACAACAACCCTATCCGCCTCTATAAGCTCACCAAGAGTGACTTGTATTTTGCCGGCCACTGGTTGGGCCTGCTGCTGGCTAACCGGACAGTGAGGCCCATGGTACTGGACTTGCTTCAGGAAGACCGTCGGGCCTGGTTCAGAAAGCTGTCAGACTTCAGGCTCTTTCTGCCTCCCAGAAACTTTGAGGGAACCAACCTGGAGTTTATGGACAGACTGAGCCACCAACTGGATGACATGCTTCTCTCATGCAAATACAGAGGAGAGCCCTGCGGAGCTCACAACTTCTCCTCTGTAAGTCCAACTTCTTCTGTTGTGTTTTCTAGAAGCATTATGCCAAGTCTGCCAGCAGAAGAAACACAGTATCTCCTCTCATATTTTCATCTCTTAACATGTTGTTTTTACTGTCAATTATCCCGGTCTAAACATCAACTGCAGTGTAAAAGTTGCAAATATTTGCATCATGCCAAAACATATTGCTTCATTTCATTATATCCTAGGTGGGTATTTTCCTGTGCCACGTCTGCTTAAATGGCAACATTATAGGGCTGTAAAAACAAGTGTAAAAATGTGGTGTACACACTATCATAACTTCCTGTTATAGCTGACTGTTACTAACACTCAGTAGCTCTGTTACTGCACAGAGTAATTATTAAATCACAATCAGAGCCCTTGTTAAATGAATGCTGGTGTAATAAGGATAACACAGGCATACATTTTTTGCTGAGTAGTAAACAGTTTGAAATATGGTATCAAAATCAGCCGTGGTCATAACAAAATAACATGAGTGAAATGGGCTACGTATGAGCTTGTGGCTAGGCATAACTACCAACCCCCCATATCAAAAAGTTTCTTTTAAAGCACTGTGCAACCCCCCAGAGGAGTTTACTGCATCTGTGTCTGATCGCTCTCATATCTGTCTTTTTTTCTGGGTGGGTGGTTGTGGGTTTGGGGATTTGTGTGCCCACTCTTCATTGTGAACACCCTTGGCACGCCAGAATTGTGGCAGATGTTTTCTCTGCGGTAATGCAGAAGCTCAAACTGTCTTTTAAACTTTTTTCTTTTTCCTATTTAATTTGTGTTCTTTTTGCTCTTTCTGCTGTGACCTCAGTCAGAGACTGACTGGAGGGGAAATGAGAAATGCCAGACAAGTACTCGTGTGCAAAGGTTGCGCATGGTGGTTTGTGTATCACTTCTTTGTTATGTTTGTGTTGCTGCTGTGCAGCTTGTTGCCCTCCTTTTTCACAATTTTTAAAGTTACATTTGTTGAAATGTTCATAAAAGCCTACTTTTGATAATATTTATAGACACTTTGTTCAACCTTAATCGTTCATTGTATTTGCATTGTTAGTTGCTGCCTTCATTGTTAGTGGTGGAGTTTGTCATTCCCACACTGGATTCAAATTGCTAATCCATGCTAAAGATATGCGTTCAAGTCATTAAAGGGGAACTCTACGGATTCTACACATTCAAGCCTGTTTACAGGTCTTGTGGAGTACCGCTGCATATGTGAAAAAAGTAATGTAAAGCAATTTTTGGCTCCCCAGGGAGCTGTGTGAAGTCCGATAAGTTGCCTTAAGATGCTGGCTCAAGTGATGTCACTTGAGTCAGCGTTGGTTGGGGCTGAGGACTACAAGTTTGAAAATGAAAAAAAAATATGAGCAGTGTGGAATTAGAAAGAAGTGAGTTTACTAGACCTTTATAAACCACTCCTCATCTACACTTGATGCTAGTGCCTCTGTGCTACAGTGGTTGCTACTTGCATAATACATCTGAATCTCTGACCGAATTATCAGTGGTCGAGTTGTGTGTGTGAAATGTAGGCACCAGGTTTTGACAAGGAAAAAGAATGTGTAGAATGAAAAAGAAAATATCTCTGGTTCTGTTCTATCAATTTTGATCCTTTTTTTCAAACTGTCCACTGTGAGACCAACAGTGTCATAGTAGTGCATTGCTAAAACGATGGAGTACTCTACCGGAGCTCAGTATTACTTTGTCAAACAACATTATTGACTCTCCTTTATTTGCAATGAACACTTTGTCTGTGCTGTAAACAGATATGCGTTCTTATTCTCAATGCCAGTTTGCTGTCTCGAGTGGTTAATACGTGTCCTTTTCAATGGAACATATGCCATTAACCACAGGTGTAGCCAAATCAACCAGAACTGAAATCTGGAGGGTTATAACTTTAATACTCCCTCACATAGTCATACCCACACACCAATAATGTCAGATTGGCAGGGGCTTCATAAGGGGATCAAAAGAAAAGTCCATTCTAGTCACCCACAGTTTCATAAGGGTAAGTTATAGCTACAAGTACAAAGATTGTGGCACCGAAAAAAGCAGAGGCTGCTTTTTCCTGCGTTATCCATTTCTCTCTTTTTCTTGGTCTCTTTTCTCTTCATGGATTTGAATTGCATAAACAGAAAATCATTCTCCATTTTGAGAAAGTGAACAAGGCGGAGGTGAATTGTATGTGATTTTGTTGTCTTTTATCAAATCAAATTTAACCTCTCGGATGCCCAACATAATATGCAGTACAACCTGCAGTGTTGAAAATACAAACTTGGGTTTGCCATTTGAAGGGATCATGATTACAATGCTGACAAGTCAGCACTCAACCAAGCATAAAAGCACTCCCCTTCTTTTCCTAAACTGCCCTGTATAAAATCACATACTGGTGTTTTTATTAGTCTTGCAAGCTCATGGTCAGCAGTTGTTGATACGTACATGATTTTTTGCAAACTGGATGAGTTTCATTAGTTTTTCCGGCTCTATTTGGTGAAGCTGCTCTTTTTGTCCACTTTGTTTTGTCTCTTTGGCCGTTTTTTGTCAGAAACAGGACAAGATTCATCAGCCCACTGCTGTGCTAATGTAGTCCTTGATCAGAACCATGTCCTCAAAGCAGTATCCATTAACTATGTTTTGATGCAGGCAGACTCATTTCGATGCGGAGAGAAACATATTCCTTCTTTGTTGAATTTACAGTCAGTTTTGTTGAAAAGTTGGAAAGGTTTGTTAGCGTGACCGCTTTGTTGCCTCATTATTCACAGGTCAGGTTTTATGTTGAGGTTATGTGTTCATGGGGGCTTGATTCACTCACATAATCAGTGCTATGAATGTGAGGCTTGTATTGTGAAATGAGTTTGAACATGTAAGCTGTTTATGTGCATTTGAGTGTAGTAGCTGAATGATTTTCTGGCATTTCATATGTCTGGACATTGTGTAAGCATGACTCAAGCTGCTTCTGATGGAGGGAAAATTGTCCTCTGAGACCAACTTTAAACAACCAGTTTTTACAATCTGATTGTGATTGTCATTTTAAAGGGGGTGAAGAATGAGGTGAGTGAGTCTCTCCAATTTTTGAATTTAGATTTTCGTTGGTACATGGACAGTGTGTTGGATGTTGTCAGCTTTACTCTGGAGATCAGAGCCACATTGATGCCCCAGTCCTGCCGTCTTTCTCATCTTGCTCTACCTCATAGGGGGCCTCATGCCGTTAACGGGCCCTCAGTGGTTTTGCTAATCTCATTAGCCTGCTGCTGCTAGCCAGCAAAGACTCCCTGAGGCCTATTCATTATCACTGCATTTAGAGCACTGTCACTCTTAGACTGAAAGGGATGCAACAGCAACAACCAGATTAAAGGGGGGAATAGGGAACACATGCACATAGACTTGTGAGTAAATAAATGCTGCAATCCTAGTCTTGTGTGTGTGTACAAAGCTGTATGCCTGCATGCATGATTGTCTTGGAGAATAAGTGAGAAATTATCCAGTTTCAATAGAATCTGCTCATTACAGGCTGAGAATAACAGAGGATGCTTTGAAATGTCAAGCAACGGGTGGTTGGAGGTGAGTGGAAGAGCAAGGTACAGCTAGTGGTGGGGGGTGAGAGATGGTATAGAGAAAAGGCATCTGGTTCATTGGTCTGGTTGGGAATACAAATGGGTCCCATAATTCTGGCCAACCTCCTGCAGTAGCAGGATCTCATGTGCTGAATCTACTGTCTCACACTGAATGGGAACTAGGGGAAGGCTGCCTAATCAATAAATCTATTAGCTTTGTGCTGTAGTTTATGGTGGTCTATTTTGCTCCCACATCTCCAGTGCTGATATACTCTCAGCCACCCTACAGCTAGTCCCAACTGAACTGTAGGGGATGACAGAGCTGGAGAAACACCAAAAGCCAAACTTCCACGTAAAAATGTAAGTGATACCTTATCTAACTACAGCTAGCTCTAAGCCTCTTTCTCTGTGGAGTAGATACACATCTCCACCTACCTTTTCAGAGCCCTATCGAGGACTAGATAACTGCGACTGCAATGACAAATTAAACAGTGCTCAGAGTTGGAGGGAAGCACCTAATCACACTCCAGGCACGGGATGAAAAAATTGTGAACCTCTTTGCTTGACCACTGTAATGTATCAAATCTATCTCCAGAGAAATCTCATAACTGCAGAGGCACAATAATGCTGCTCCACTCTCATGGGTTTGACTTGAACACGTTTGTTCATATATGTTTTCGAATTGTGAATAATGTTGAAACAATACCGTGTGTTAGATTTAGGGTTATTAATCTTTGGGGTTTTTATTAAAGCCGCAATAATCATTTTTTATATTAACAATGGATTCTTGTATGTGAAAGGAATCGCTTGTTTTGATGAATTATCATCTGACTGTGCAGTTTCCCTCAGCTCTACAAAGTGTTCTAGTGTCTTTTGGCAAATTGTTTTGGTTTACAGACCACAGCTTTACTGTTCTGGTGCACTCTCAGCATCTCTGAAGCTTTAAAAAACCACTATAGTGGAGGATACAGCAACAAAACAGATAGATAGTTCCCCCAGGAGTGAAAAGGATATTGAATATTCAACTTAATTGATGAGGTGGTCAGAATCCCAACTCCAAATTAATGCTAATGTTTTTCTGTCTCTGCCAGATGTGTAAATATGCAAGCTGTGCTTGTTGATATGGCTTACAAGTTCATCACATGAACCCAAGAGGCAATCTGTGCAGGCAGGAATATATTAATACAATGACATTTAACTGAAAAGTTAATTAAATGCAAAGTAAAGTTGAGGTTGCTCAAATGCAAGACTAAAAAACAATGATTTGCTCTACTGTTGAATTTACAATCACATTATATTACCTAAAGAACTGTAAAGACCTGTTTCTTGAGTGGTTAGCTGTGTAATCCGACTCGGTTAGGATCAAAGGTTAATTGATTAAAAATGGCACCATCTACTCTATAGGATATGTTTGGTGTATGAACATTATAGATTTTTCCATGCTTTGTT